TCCTGTCCTTCCCTTATGCAGTCCAGGTGGGGAAAGTGACCTGGATGCAGTGAGTCCTGACACCGCTCCCCACAGCCCCTTAGGGGTGCACAGAGGAGCTGCGCTTGGGGTGGGGGAGTGAGCAGCAATGCCAGCTGCTCTGTGCATCCAGGTGAGTTTCCCCACATGGGCACAGGAGAGGGGCGAAGGGGGCAGCCATGGGGGCCAGGGTCAATGGGGGGGCACCACACCCATGTGGGCCGGGGCACCAACATACAAGTTCGCCTAGGGCGCCATTTTCCCTCAGGCCAGTCCTGGTTGAGGGTTTGTCTACAGTACTACAAGCAGGAGCTGTGTTGTAACCAGGTCAAGGGACATCCTATGATAAGCAGGCTCCTTGACTCCATTGTTGTAGAGTAGATGGGCCAGCAGATAACCAGAAACCCGCACATTTATTGGGACTTTATAGATCAAAATCAGTAGCTCAAATTGCACCCAAATGAGGATCCACTGCCCTCCGTTGCTCTATTCAAGAAGCACCGCTAAATAAGGAGAGCACCATGGTGTGCTACCTGCAGTTTCCGAGCATATGTGGGTAGCATATAAGATAGCCCATTGAGAAAGTTGGCCATTGTATTCTAGGGAGTTTATTGCAATGTAGTGAACCCTGTAGTCAAGGTTGTAAAATTGTTGTGGCCTGGGCAGGGACTCAGGAGGCCTGGATTCCATTCCCTGCTTGGTGACCTTGGTCAGGTTGTATTCCCCTTTCTGTGCCTCAGTTTTCCCATCTGTAAAATGGGTATAATGGTACTGATTTCCTCCATAAAGCGCGTTGAGATCTCTTGATGAAAAGCATTAGATAAGAGCTAGCTGTTCTTATTTGCTATTTTTGTATGCTAATGAGTTTTTGAAACATTTACCTTCTGGACAGAATCTTAGCCCAAAAGCATATGTTTTTGGAAAGTTTCATCCAGATTCCCTTAGCTGTTTATGAGTTATGAAAGAGTCAAAGACATCCACTTTTCACACACTCTGGGAGACATTTTTGTGCCTTTGAACATTTACGCCTTTGTTTTTAAAAATGAACAAAAAGACCCACACTCTTTTGCCATGACTTTTAATATGCCCTCGGTACCACCAACTGAAATGTGAGCTGGGACCAAGGACTAGTGTCATCATTAGATTTTTGGGGGGGAAATATTTGAAATCTGTTGGTTTTGATTAATCAGTGAGGGGAAGAAAGAAGCTCTGCCACTTTGTGGCTTCCCTGCATCTTTCCCTGCCTAGAGAAGGTGCTGGGCACGCATAGGAGCTGCTGGTGGAACAATGTGCATGAAGGAGCTTGTCATTGAAACACCCCCTCCCTCCTTGTACCTAGTTCAGAAATGCCTTCACCTTTGGAAAAGAACCAGTCGTGGAGCCGGCTGGTTTTGTGTCTCAGCAAGTTTTGCTGCATTTCACAGTATTCTGCCCATTTTACTTTTTAATTCCTTTCAGATAATTAAGTTTGCCGTTGCCATTGTGAATATCCAGTCGGGACACCAGAAAATGGTCTCCAGACAAAAGAGCAGCAAAGATGGGAGCTCCTCCCCATTCTTGGAGAGGAGAGGCAGTGCCTCATGGGAGATGTAGTCCAGCCAGGGAGCCCGTCCCATAGAGCAGGGGTTCTCAACCTTTTTCTTTATGAGGCCCTCCCCCTCAACATGCTATAAAAACTCCACAGCCCAGCTGTCCCACAACAGCTGTTTTTCTGCATATAAAAGCCAGGGCCGGTGTTGGGGGAAGCAAGGAGGGCAATGCCCGTGGTCCCACACCATAGGGGGCCCCGCGAAGCTAAGTTGATCAGGCGGGTGGTAGGACTTGGGGACCTGGGCTGCAGTCCCACGTGGCAGGACTTCGGCTATCTGCCTGAGCCGTAGCAAGTCTAATGCCAGAGGTGCTTGATGGAACCCCTGAAATCCGCTTGTAGCCCCTCAGGGGCCCCCGGACCCAGGGCCGTCCTTAGGCATATGCAGCATACACAGCTGCATCGGGCACCTGAAAATTTGGGGCATCCCTGGTGTCCACCCATCTGCTCTTCCTATCCCTGTTCTGACCCTTCCTGCAAGCACCCACCACAGCTGGCTGCTGCAGCCTGGTGAATCTCCTCAGGAGGGGATCTAGTACTTAAAAGTTAAATAGCCTGCCAGACATATTAGCACAACATTGAAACTGTTAAAGAGCCATTCAAGTGATAATGAAGCCATTTAACTGGCATTTGCCAACCCCTAGGTATATACTGACAGTTTCTGAATTTCCTAGGCCTTGGCTACACTTGCAAGTTACAGCGCTGTAAAGCCTCCCCCAGCACTGTAACTCACTCCCTGTCCACACTGGCAAGGCATTTGCAGCGCTGTATCTCCTTGGTTGCAGCGCTGCAT